TGTTAGCCAAGCAGTGATCCTGTCGTGATTTCCACATCACTTCCTGGAGTGGTTCCTGAAGGACACCGTCCGTAGCAAGTATGCTGGTCACCTGAGGGCCAAACCCGAGCAGGTTCTTTGAGATCACCTTGAAGTGGGACTCCAGCAACCACTTTATGCTCTGCAGGAGCTTCACGTGCTTTGCGTACTGGTGCTTCCTCCATTGCGCCCGCCTCAACTGCCTGCTTCTCAATGGGGCTGTCCACTTCAGCCACCAAGACAAGAGGTGCTGGCAGAGCAGCTACACGGCAGCGACCCTCCCCCGCATGCTGTGCAGCTGCAGGCTGCATGCCAGAGCCTGGCAGCTCTGCCACAACGCTGTCCAGGACTGGCTGCTGAAGGCCATCCCAGCCACAGTGGGGGAGATCTCCATGAACCACACCATCCCAGGCTGTGAGAGCTAGATGTGCCCAGACGTCATCATCACAAATGAGGAGGCCAAGAAAATTGTGATTGTGGATGTCACCATCCCCTTTGAGAACCAGTGCCAAGCCTCCACTGACACCTGGGCTCACAAGTGGAAGAAATATGCCCCACTGGCCTACATTCTGAGGGGCTGCAGCTATGATGTGATGGTTGATGCACTCATTGTGGGAACGCTTGGAGCCTGGGATCCCAGCAACAAGAGTGTCCTGCATGCCTGCCGTGTCTCCCGCTGCTATGCCAAGCTGATATGCCACCTCAAGGTGGCTGACACTGTAGAAATTTACTAACAAGATCATAAATAATAGTGTAGCAGTTAACTTCTACAGCAGACTCAGCCTCCAAGGACAGGCTGATAAGACTCTGCAATGACCGAATCCTATTCACTTTGAAGTCTGAAGTAAGTTTCCTCCCTATTAGTTACTGTTTCAAAACAAACATGTAGCCAAAAACCAGTTTTGAAATAATTAAGAATTTTCCCACACTGACCTGATATTCACAGTGGAAAATTCCCACCTCCACGCGCATCTTGTCTGTAAACTATAAATCACCTCTAACAGTTTTATTTGGGGCCTCTGAACTCGCTCAGGGTGCCCAGCTTGCTGAATAAATTTTGAGATTGATAGCGACTCTGTGTCTTTGGGAATAGCTCCGCAAGGGGTCACGAACTCCTCAACAACACCATCTGTTGGTTCCATGACATCTACATCAAGCACATCATGGGCCATCGCCAATACACTAATCCCACCCAACCGACCGCAGCTGGACCAAACGCAGAGGGGACCGCCTGAATCCCCCACTACACCTGATGGACTCCAGGAGGAATCTTCAATGATGGACCACTCCATTCCACCTGAAGAGGACCCCCACGATAAGACTCTATAAGACTGAGAAACTTTTTCAACCTACCCCCTCCCCCACTGCCGACCATTGTACAGGTTTGTGTGTATCTATCCTCTTTCTCTCTCAGCGTTGTGACTGCCCCCTCCCTCCCCTTCCTCCACCTTCCCCTT